CCAACAGAAGATAAAATTGATGACATAAAGGATAGATTCTATGAAGAACTAGAACAAGTATTTGATAAATTCTCGAAGTACTCTATGAAAATTTTGTTAGGAGATTTCAATGCCAAAGTAGGGAGGGAAGACATTTTCAAACCAACGACTGGGAATGAGAGTTTGCTTTGAAATTAGTAATGATAATGGAGTTAGAGTAGTAAACTTTGGCACATCAAAAAATCTTACTGTCAAAAGTACAATGTTCCCGCATCGTAACATCCATAAATTTACTTTGACGTCTCCTGATAGGAAGATACACAACCAAATAGACCATATTTTGATAGATAGAAGACGGCATTCAAGTATACTTGATGTCTGATCATTCAAGGCAGCAGATTGTGATACTGACCACTGCCTGGTGGTGGCAAAGGTTAGGGAAAGACTGGCAGTGAGCAAACAAACAACGCACAGAGTTCATATGGAGAGGTTCGATCTCAAGAAATTAAAGGCGGTAGAGGGTAAAGAGCGGTATTGTGTTGAAATCTGAAATAGGTTCGCGGCCTTGGAAAACTTGGAAACTGAGGTGGATGTTATTAAAGCTTGGGAAACTATTAAAGAGAAAATTGAAATGTCTGTCAAAGAGAGTCTAGGTTATTACGAACTGAAGAAGAATAACACACGCAGTCACAGGAGCAAGACACAACACAAAGCAAAATACACACATGAAAGTAGGAAGAATACTCCGACAGAAGATAGGTGTGACTCGCGTATTGAGATACGACATAAGGATGACAAATCCTGAACAGTTTTAATATTTTTAATATTTAAAATTTATCAATATATATGACGAATATATATATATANACATCGAAAAGCACCTGAAGATGGCACTTTAGTGCCGAAACATGTAGTGCAAGAGAGAAGAGTAAGGTGAATAAATGTATGCACTGTAAGACGGTCAGAATAAATCATGGATATAAATCAGTGCAACGGGACGCTAAAATATAACATTGAAGAAGAATAAGCCATGGTTCGATGAAGGAGGCTCAAAATGATTATATCAAAGGAAGCAGGCCAAATTGCAATGGTTACAGGATCCAAGTGAGTTAAATGGGGATAATCTGAACAATATAAAACGTGAAACCAGCAGGCATTTCAGGAACAAAAATAGGGAATATTTGAAAGACAAAACTGATGAGCTTGCAATGAACAGTAAGAACAAGAACATTAGAGACCTGTATAGAGGAATAAATGACTTTAAGAGGGGTTACCAGCCTAGGATGAGAATGGTGATCTGCTTGCAGATTCCCACAACATTTTGAATAGGTGGAGGAACTACTTCTCTCAGTTATTGAAGGTACATAGGGCCAGTGATGTTGGGCAGACAGAAATCCATACAGCTGAGCCGTTAGTACCCGAACCAACCTTTTCGAGGTTGAAAGTGTTATTGCAAAATTGAAAATGTATAAATTGCCAGATAGCGATCGAATTTTAGCAGAACTTATTCAAGCAGGAGGGAAAATATTACGTTCTAAGATCCACAATCTAATTACTTCTATTTGGCATATGGAAAATTGCTTGATCAGTGGAAGGAGTCTATTATTGTACCAGTTCACAAGAAGGGTGATAAAACTGACTGTAATAATTATCGAGGGATATCACTGCTAACAACTTCATACAAAATTTTATCCAATATTCTTCTCTCTAGGTTAAGTCCATATATAAATGAAATTATTAGGGATCATCAAGGTGGGTTTCGACGGAACAGATCAACTGCAGATGAGATCTTTTGCATTCGTCAGATATTGGAGAAAAATGGGAGTATGATGAGACAGTACATCAGCTATTCACAGACTTCAAGAAAGCCTATTATTCAGTTAGGAGGGGAGTATTGTACAATATTCTGATAGAGTTTTGGATACTCATGGAACTAGTTAAGCTGATTAAAATGTATTTCAATGAAACTTATAGTAAGGTCTGTATATGTAAATATTTGTCTGATAAATTTCCTATCCAGAATGGTCTAAAACAAGGAGATGCTTTATCGCCATTCCTTTTCAACTTTGCTTTAGAATATGCTATTAGGAAGGTCAGGAAAACCAGGTGGGACTGAAATTAAACGGGACACATCAGCTGTTGGCCTATGCCGATGATGTGAATCTCCTGGCTGATAGATACCATAAAGGAAAACACACAAACTTTAATTGACGCAAGCAAGGATGTGTCTTTTTTATCGCTAGTGGGGTGGGATTAAGTCCCTTGTACTGCGACCACTTCTGGCCTATTGTACCAGCCCCAGATGATAACTGTGGGTGATTGTGGAGCAATTGGTGGAGTGAAGATTGGCAAGGGAACCCGAAGAACTCGGAGAAAACCTGCCCCAGCGTCACTTTGTCCAACACAAATTCCACCAGACCAGACCCGGGATCGAACCCGGGCCGCCGCGATGGGAAGCCAGCGACTAACCGCTTCAGCTATGGCGCGACCCAGAAGTAAACACAGAGAAAACAAAGTATATGTTGCTGTATAGTCACCAAAATGGAGGGCAAAATCATGACATAACGAAAGAAAACAGATGTTTTGAAACTGTGACACAATTAAGATATTTGGGAACGACGATAACAAATCAAAATCTGATTGAAAAAGAAATTAAGAGGCGATTGAACTCGGGTAACGCTTGCTACCATTCAGTCCAGAACCTTTTGTCTTCTCGTCTGCTGTCTAAAAACATAAAAATTAGAATATACAAAACTATACTTTTGCCTGTGGTTATGTATGGATGTGAAACTTGGTCTCTGACGTTAAGGGAGGAACAAAGACTGAGGGTGTTTGAGAACAGGGTGTTGAGGAGAATATTTGGACCGAAGAGAGATGAAGTGACAGGAGGTTGGAGAGAACTGCATAATGAGGAGTTTCATAATTTGTACTCGTCTCCAAGTATAATTAGAACGATCAAGTCAAAAGGGATGAGGTGGACAGGGCATATAGCACGAATAGGGAGAAAAGGAATGCATATAGGATATTGGTGGGAAAGCCAGAAGGAAAGAGGCAACTTGGAAGACCAAGGCGTAGGTTGGCGGACAATATTAAAATAGATCTTAGAGAGATAGGATGGAATGGTATGGATTGGATTGATCTGGCTCATGATAAACACCAATGGAGGGCTCTTGTGAACACGGTAATGAACCGTGATAGTGGAATTTGCACATCAAGGAGTAAAGAGAAATTCAAATTTCAGAAACTGCAAATATCACAAAATATGCCTGAGTGAAAAGTACAACTGAATTTCACGTTCTGTGTAGGAAACTTTGTTTAACAGGTACGAGTTCCAGGCTGAATCCGATCTATAACACGAGCGTACATCCGTTCCAGGTGCCCCCATATTGGGCTGGATTGTGAGATTACCAAGAGGGAGCCAGCCCCATTCCGCCAGTCGCCATGGTGATGTATGATGCCAGATCGGGAGCCCCGGGAAATAGCGCTGCAACAGCTCCCTTTGCACCAATCGCAGAAGAGCGTATGTATCGACCATAGTGCAGCTCTAATCCAGTCATATATATCTTTACGGACCACATTATACATCACTCGTGCCCGATCATACCTCGCGAGAACCAAGAAACAGGGAGTACAACAAGTATGTTCCACCTGACTGCATATTCGTAAGTCTCCTTTCTAGCAGGGAAGTCAGCTGATGCAAAAATTAGATACAATATATCGAGAAATGTTTCGATATCGATATGAATTTCGCACATCGATATGTCCATAGACATATCGTGTGATTTCTCAGCAGCACAAATCTATTCTTATTTATTAGAAAGTACTGACAATCCGAAGTTCCCTTCATTGCATAAAACCCGAGGAAACATTTCAGTCTTCAGAAATAAATAATTGTATAAGTACCCATGACAGTTTTATAATAAAAATAAAAGGCACATAATTTCTTACAATATTTGGGACAGAACTGAATTAGGCAGGACTCTTGAGCAATTTAGAGCGAACGCGTTAACGGGATTGACAACCGGGCTTCGATTCCTGGCGAGGGTAGCAGATAAGAGTCCGGAACAGCCATCGGAGGATCTATCACCGGAGGTAAAGAGAGAGAATCGTGAAGCTGAACAGTCACTAACATCTAGCGCCGAGATTAAGAATGGTGGAGCTATACCTCCACTCACCCACATGCCTTCATGGCAGACTGCTTCATTATTTAATTAGGAACACAAATACTTTTAACATTTTTGGGCAAATTAGTGTATAGCGTCTACCGTTCGAACTCCGTGATCGTGGGTTCAAATCCCACCAGGGGTACGGATGTATGTATGGCGTGTGTGTGTTCTGTCCTTGCGACAGGCCTCCACCCCGCCTAAGAAAACTTACCAGATATCTATACACAAGAGTCAGAGACCCAGAAAATGGGAGGCCTTGAGAAGCATTGGTCAGTCGTACTGTCGTACACAAAGACCTGAACAATTCGACAAGGCTGAAGTGAAAACATGATTTGACAGCGACACAGGCCTCTCCGACACCGATGCATTCCATATCAACATTTCTACTCCCCAAAGTGGGGAGTGGGAAAGTGCGTCCACTCGATGGTGCAGTCCGAAGTATAAAAGTCAGTTATGAGATGTAACTGGATATGGACGTGCTCTTCGTTAAGCTGGATTTTTTAAATTTACCTAATCCTTCCAGCCGCACTATGGCCCTGGGGTCGACTAAGCCTCTAACAGAAATGAGTACCAGGAATCTTCTTGGGGAGTGAAAGGCGGTCGGCGCATAAGGCTGACAACCTTAGCGCCATCTCTGAGTAGATTTTCTATAGAGAAATGCAGTAGCCTCGACATCTCACAACATTATTGGCCTTCACGGCCTGTTACAGGGATAGCTTTACTGCTACTTAGTAATATGTGGCAGAGATGAACAACAGAAGAAATGAGGCGCAAACCAGCCTGCCTTACAGCAATATCTAACAAAATCTTATCCCTACAACAGAGTTCTACCTAGAACAGGCAAGCTGTACTCACTCCGACTGGCGAGGAAGATCTCAATGGCAACATTTTGCAGTAGGTAGCGACGCGAGAAGATGGCGCGGACCTCGGAGAAGTACCACTTGCCATGTAGATGGTCGCAGTACTTGAGCACCTGTAACAAAAGAACAAAGGTTACTTCATTCCCATATTCCCCATGTATGTCTCAGTATGGTTAACACACGTGTAAGAGCCCCAAAAAATCACTGCTGATGGTACATCCCTCCTGCAAAACTCTCTATAGAATCGGAACATCTGAACAGCGACTAGTAACAGGTCACTACATCTCAGTCCTCCATAAGCGGGTCACGGGCCAGTCATTCAGGAACAGACAAACTTTTCAGATACTGCGACAGAAACCATCAAACAAAACAGATTTACTCTGGCCACTACTGTAGCACAACATGTTTAGATTAACACCAATTAATGGGCATGATATGAAGAAAAGAACAGAATAAATTAATTTTTAATTAATAAAAATGTGGAGAAAATTCTAAGTGTGAATATTAAAATAAATGCTGGTGTTATCCTAAATAATGCTTCAACTTTCAGTTCTTCTATCTATATACACAAACAAAACAAGAAACAAATTGTGATTTTAGTCCGCAAACGAACTATACCGAGCGACCGCCGCTTGTCGGCGAAGTTGGTGCCAATTTTAGCGGATAGAGGGTGTCGCGAGGTCAGCACAACGAATCCCCATGGCCGTTAATCTCGGTTTTCTAGACCGGATCCACTATTTCCTTGAAATAGCTCCTCAATTATCCTCACTAGGCTGAGTGGACCCCGTTCCAGACCCACTACTTCTCAGAAAAATCTGGTAGCTCCGGTAATCGAACCCGGAATCTCTAGATCTGTAGGCAGGAACTCTGACCACTAGACCACAGAGGCGGTCTACCTACGTGTAGATACACACCGTATCCAAAACGAAACCAGTAAAGATACTTTATAAGCAAAATGTGTTGGAGAATGTTAGGCCTGAGGCTTAACGCCGGTGGTATAAACAGCGACTGCAGTTGGCCTGATATGAAACATTGAAGATGGGTCTATAGGTTAAGCGACGGATTCACGCGCCAACAGCACACGAATTGGTTGGGTTCTGCTTCATATCATGTAAAAGTGCGGTCCACGTTCTCTGCTGAACACAAGAAACTTTCTTGCAAGTTGATGACCAAGGTAAGGCGAGCTATCAGTTGGACTGAGATATGTTGTGTGTATGATATTTCGGAAGTTAGCTATACTCGCATCCTATGATGAAATGTTGACATCCTGTGGCATCACAATTTAAGATTAGTGGTGACGATTGGGATTGAACATGGAGCCTTTTAAAACAGGCTACAGCGCCAACCACTATTCAGCCTGAAGGCGAAATAGAACAAACTACCGAAGAACATCGAACAATAACAAACCTATTTCACACAGTGAACAATGCCCAAAACATTGGCATATGATCAACTATTGTCATGAACAGTGGAGAATGATAAGACGATCATATTTTGACCTTGAACCTCGGCACAACGTCATGACGCCGTAGGGAAGAGGGGATGACATAACGTTACATATATCGGCAACTATGGTGCGATGAGATGTCTCTCCTCGGCAACGACCAGATCGACTCTGGGGCCAACCCAGCTTCCTATAGAGTGAGTGCTGGGGGCTCATACCCCGACGGCAAAGTGGCGGGGGCTTGAAGATGACCACTCACCTCCATCCAGATATGTGGTCAAGAATGGTGCAGTTAAACCTCCACTCCCCCATGCATCTTCACGCGTGGTGCTTAATTAAGCTCTGAGATAATTGACGAATAACAACGCTTAGCTTTAGAACGGCGTTGTCGTCGAAAGAGCACAACCGCCGTTCCTGCCTCTTGTCCTCAGGTATGTCCAGTTGGCAACACTGTTCCTTTTGAATTTCTGCGCGAGGACTAAATCGACTGCTCTAACTATACAGACGGAGTCAGGACAGATGAGTCGGTATAGCGAAGGGATATTGGCTGTCAATTCCCGGCAGTGCAAGTGTCCAGACCGGCTATGGGGCCCACCTAGTTTCCCCGGAGGTAAAGCGGTCGGTGTGTAAAGCTGAGCATTCACCTCCACCTAGTGCGGAGGTCAAGAAAAGTGGAGGTATACCTCCACTACCCCATATGCCTCCATAGCATAGTAAATTAACTAATTATGCACAGGGACACGTTTACCTTTTACCCACCGAATACGAGGTTGGGTGGCCTCCAGACTTGCTGTGAACGTGGGTTAAGGTAGAAATCCCGACGAAGCCAGGAATACGATGCCGGTGCTTCAGTCAGTGGCCTACAGGAGTTGACGTAGCAAATCAGTTCGAATCAGAATTCTAACGCTTCGATACTCGGAGCGGGCATTTAGAAAGTTACAGTTATTCAGAGAGCACATTTTGTGGATTACGGTACATTGGAGTTTCACTCTTCTTGAGTGTAATGAAACTGCTGCACGAATTAAAATGTTCAGTGTTATTTTCATACTTCTCTAATTGTTTTGAACCAACGTTTACGGCTTTACAGCCAAGAACCCTTCTCCAGAACGTGACAGAGCGTCATAAAACAACCTCTCTTGTGAAGTGCCAGGAGATCCCATTACACGTGTATCAACTTCAGAACAACACCGAAGTATGGGACGAAAGATCAGAAACTAGCTCCATGCGCTGTTCCGCCTGCGCTTGCCCAGCCTGCTAGATTTTATTTAAATCAAAACTCTATCTCCGTGTTCACAAAAGTCACCACAGGGCTCTATCCCGAATAAACTGAGCGCAGTCCGCCACTCCACAGACTAGTTTTCAAAGAACTATTTTAATATTATCTTCCCATTTACAGACCCAGAGGTCTCGGGTTCCATTCCCGGCGCTACCAGATTTTCTGACAGGTAGTGTGTCTAGAACGGGGTTCACTCAGCCACGTGATGACAATTGAGGAGCTACTTGAATGGAAAAGTAGCGGCTCCGGTCTAGAAAACCGAGATTAACGGCCGTGGGGATCCGTTGCGCTGACTACGCGACACCCTCTATCCACTAAAGTTGGCACTAACGTCGCGGACAAGCGGAGAGTTCAATTTCATTCATAAGTGTTAAAATCACATAAAGGACAAAGAGGGAGATAGTGCTGTAAATTTCTAGCAGAAAAGGAACCGCGATCTCTAAGATTAATGCATACCTTGATCAAATATACGGCTACATCAGAAATGTGCGATGCATAGGCTTGCAGTTATGCCACTTTCGTTCTGATGAGCACCCACTGGGACAATAATCATTCCTTGTACTTTGTAGCAAGAATACCTCGGTTACAACAATAACAAAAAGTTTGTAGATAATAAACGTTTTAATTTGGCCCATAAATCCGTCTTTCGGCGGTATAATGTTATGCGGTGTCCTCTGATTTAATGGCTATATGACAAGCCTAATAAAAACCGGAGCTATGAAAGGAGTTGTGAGGAGATAGTGTGTTACCGAACAGGTGCTACCATGTCTCTGTGAGCTAACAGTCTGATTCGGGACTAGCAGGCTGCAGAGGAAGAGCAAACGTTATGGCCAAAACGTGACAGCACCAGAACGCCCACAAGAAAACTATACTACGTATTAATGTGTGAATACAAAGTCACAGCGGTATTTAAATATAACCGGAGAATGTATGCAGTTACATATTCCCTATCCTTCGTCTAGTTCAGTGGTTGCCAAACTCTCCTAGTGTAGGGGTTCTCACGCCTAGATGCGCATAAGCGTTCATGCCCTCCGGACCTAGAAAACTGACTTAAAACCTGATAATACTCGAATAGCAGTTTCAAAAAATGAGGACCAACGAAACGTCCCATGCGTGCTCCCTGTTCTTAGCATCTCATCCTCCTTGAATTTATCCCAAACATCTACAAAGTATTACATCACAGAATTTTTTTCACCATTCCGTCGGGCTGGGGGCACGCGGTAGCGTAGTTGGTTGAGGCATTATGCTACAAGATGGAAGGTCGCGGGTTGAAGCCCAGAGGAGATGGATACATAGGAAAGCTACTTTATGGAAAAGTGAACATTATATTGCGTGCAGTGGGAAACCCCAATCGAATACCCAGCAAATACGCTTAAACGAACATCACACGTAAATCTACACGTCAACGTGGATGCATAGGGCAAACTGTGATATAGTGAGCACTATTCATAACCTAAGTGCATAATGTTAAAACTTCTTATGTGACGGTCTCTCCTGCTCGTAGTGGTGCGCCTCTGAAGATGATTCTTTTGAATCGAAACATGTAAGGCGAATAAAGACTGAAGTGTTGTAAACCTGTATGTCACACTGGACTGAAAGTTATCTACTTTGTTTTTTTTTCCAAATTACCTACTCCTTCTAGCGGCAACTATGGTCCTGGGATCGACTCAGCCTCTAAGAGAAATGAGTACCAGGAATCTTCCGGAGGTTTAAGGGCGGCCAGCGCGTAAGGCTGACCTCACCGCCATCTGTGAGCCGAGTGACTATAGCAAATGTGACTGTCTCGACGTCTCACAACCCTATGGGTCTTCATGGCCAGTTACAGGGATAGCTTTACCATTTTTATCCCGTCAGACTACTTCCCGCTTAGATCCTAATATTCTCCTCAGAACTACGAGGAAGAGTCAGTAAATAAGTCACAAGTGGAAGTAAAACAGTTTTAATGGACACAGTAAGTTTTCTATGTATGTATATCACTAGGTAGCAGCACAGTCCAGTTCCACGACAGTCTAGGTAGCAGACCCGCATGACCATTTTCAGGGGCTGGTTTCAGTAGTCAAAATGGTACGTTGTTTGGTGGGAAAGGATTAAATGTAAAGAATATTCACAAAAATATGTTTCCTGTTTACGGTGGGAAGTGTTTGTCGCGAAAAGCGGTTCACAAGTTGGTCGAGAAACGTAGCAGACGTTTCGCTTATAACGAAGAGGTTGAAATGAGGATGCGAAATGGCTGGAACAACGGTCAAAACACTTCAGTGCTGCGGGTGGCGGAGCACTGGTAAAGCGATGGGTCAAGTGTATCAGTGTTGGTGGAGGGTATGTCGAGAAATACATGTTTCCTTCCAGGTTCGAATATCACATATTTTATATATATTTGTGACCAATTTACTGAC